AGGTGTGAATTAGGAAGATGGTTGGTAGGATAGGAAATGGAGAGAAAAAGGGGTCGCACTAGAGGAAAGAGTTGGGGGGGGGAGGGGGGTCGCATTTTGCAAAAATCCTCTCCAACGGCAGGACTTACCCAGGTGACTATGTTCATCGAGTTCACGAGTCATTTATCGATTTGTGAGAGAAAATGAGTCCATTCAAGGAAAACTTATGGGCCAAGCAAGTCCACCTCTCGTTCCGTTTTTCAATTTCCGGTTGTAGCCGAATATCGACTTCCCACTCTTATGTAGGCCCAAGTGGCGCTGAGACTGGCACGATGTTTCATTATGCTCACATACTCCTTAAGCCATTTCATGGGTTTTCTTTTGCAGGGCCTACGCTGGTAAAAAAGTGAGGCTTAAAACACTCGAGAACTGAATATTTATGTAGGTGATGCTAAGGGTTAAATGCATGCTTCTACTCCAATCTTACTGAATTTACGTCGTCCATCTATCTCATAAGGATCGACACGCATCAGCTGCTTCATCCATTAATCCCACATTAGCGCTATTCCAGTAAAGTGGGGTATTTCAGTACAATAATCCGGAAACCTCCAGACTAACGAAAAGCTCGTCACCTGGCACCCATCGTCGTAATTCTAAATGCCTTCGGTGCGATGCAGCAAAATGCCTGAGGCAGCGTTTGCGACAGCGTCGATCGCGCAGGCTTTCGTCGATCGACGCATTGAAAAGCATGCGCGATCGATCGCATCGAACGCGCGACCGAACTGCTACCGTCGCGAGTCTGAACGCTGCTTTAGGCCATCAGGATAGCGCTTTCATTCCTCTTTCTCAGTATCTGACGTTAATATTTTGGTTTTGATCACTTATCGATGCCTAATATTGTGCGGCTGTTGCAAAAAACTGCCTAGCGGCACGGTTTTAAGGGGCTTTGTGTTTTTTAGCATGTCGTCACAAGGGAGCTCAACGTGGCGGTTACGTAACAACTAAAACTTCTGTTGGGAGTCCTGCGACTGGGAACGTGACATAGACACGCTATTGCCCCTCGAACTACGGTAGCGCCATCACGAGTTCGTGCGAAAAGCTGTCGCAGAACATATCATAACTTTAAAAATATATTGTATGCTTGAGTGAATGGGTCAATCTATAATATTTTAAACTCGTTGTAAAGTGATAGCACCGTCGGTTTGAAAACTCACATCCGTTCTATTGTCACATCGCACTATGTTAATGTGAAAAACTTCTGTAGACCACTGAGCCATTCCAGGAACGAAACGAACATTCTGTAGGTAGACCGTAAATCGATTGGCAATTTGATCTCCACGATGCCGCGCGAGAAGTCGACATCACGACGGTTCAATGTTAGTGCTCGTCACTGTCATTCGGCATACATTTTTCTTTTGTTTAGCTCCGATAGCTCAGTCTTTTCCAGATTTCCATGTACACTGCTTGATAACCTTACATTACTAGTAACCTTTTTTAGGTCACCGCTGCGAGTTTAGACGCGTTCGTGACGCAGCTCTGTTTCTTACGGCGATTCCGTGGAAAAATGAACCGCTCACCTGTTTATGTAGTAGGTTCCATTTTCTTTGATGATCTTTTTTGATTTCACATCCATTCTCACCGCACAGGTTATGGTTGTAAAGATAATGTATGATTTTTGACGCTGTTCCAACGTGGGGGACAGACCACCCAAGGCACCCAGAACCACACAAGGACGTCCCTCTGTAGTAAGCGACTGGGGAAAGTTCTACTCTATGCGTCGGAAAGAGCCGTTCCGCAAATTTGCGTGGGCACAACAGTATTCTTTGCTTTGACAAGGGCATGGCCAGGAGGTTTGGGCTGGGTGAGCCACCTCGCAAATTCCAACTTTTCACGGATGTTAAAAAGGCTCACCCACCAGCTCCGTCTTCCCTCGGAAATCGTGGGTTACGATGGCGCTGATGAAAAAATGCAGGCTGGCACGCGAAACCGCCCCTTGAGCTGGAAAGATTCTGCTTCCCTTCAAAAGCGAAACAGTAAATACTAAGGAACTGGTTCATCTACTCGTGAGCTCCCTCCTTTACAGGAATCCTCATCCCGTGGCGATCACGCTTTTTTTTCCTTTTTCTAGCATAGCAGCCAACAAAAGATTTGACGAGCTTTGTGTGCAAAATTGGGATTACCTTCCCGAAGTACTGCACCGAAACGTTCTCCTTTTACTGGAATAGTGCCTGGATGTTAGTGCAGGTCAACAATTACTTGATAACAGATCAATAAAGTTGTCTGCGTCTTTCAGTACCTAGGGCGAGTGCTGATAACGAACGTTTCCGCTCAACTTCGTTCTGATGCGCGATCTATCCGGGTTCACCTGGGTGTTTCCTTTCTGCGCTATTTCAATGGGGTGGGGCATTTTGGTGGGATAGTACGTCAGACAACCGTAATCCCAGTTCTGTAAAAGAAACTCTTTGAAGATGCGAGTTAAATTACAGGTCCCGAGAAGACCGTACCTGGAGGCTGTCACAAGTTTCGTTGTATTTCTTCTGATTTTTGTAGTGCAGGGCGAAATTCAGTGCTGGTACCTGCGAAAAACATTTGTGAGCCAAGAGATAAAATTTTGACTTACCCAAGCGAACAAGTACCGGGTGAGCTGGCCCACTCATTTCTGTCTAAGAAACCAAGAATAGCTAAATAACCTCCCCTGTACCATTTGAATACAAGAAACTGTCTGTCGTGGGCTTGGATGCTTTTGGTGCTCTGCACCAAACTGTTGCTCCACGTTGAAATAGCACCAATTTTCCTTCACATTGAACATCACCTCGGCGTTGAATTCTTAGAAAAAGTTGCATTTTCAGAAATCTAAAGACGTAGCAGATCCAGCACTCACATATGACTCACCAATTTCAACATATTTCACAAGAAGTACGAAGTTTCCTTCTGAATATGTTATGGTTAGAGTGCCTTTCAAATTAAATGGTAAACATTTAGATGAAGACCCTTATGAAACATCAACGCCATCTTCAAAAAGGCTTCAGCAGGTATGTTCAATGCCATTAATTCTCTTATTGTATAAAAAACTAAAACTGCTTTCTCTCTCGAGGTGTTACATTTGGATTTATCACCAATTCTGGACAGCGATGGCAGTTTAACCAGTGTGTCAGATCGATCTTCAAGTAAGTTTTCTCATCTTCGCAATCTACTGCCTACTTCTTAATCTTATTAGAGTGTTCCCAGCTGATCGATCTTACTGCTTTAAAACTCGTTCCGTCATTATCCGCTAAGTGGGGCCTTTTCACGTACTTTATAGGCAGATCCAAAGCCCCACAGTACTTGCCACTTCGCAACCCGAAATTGCGAGGTAAGAAAGCCAGCGGTTTCCTACTTAACCCCATCGCCCTTTCTTCAGTTTGGCTCCACGTAATATAAAAATATTTGCCTCCGTTGTCTGTGCGATCGAGTGCTCTCTATTCTGTGCTTGTCTGGCCCCTAACCTGCGCGCCCACTCTCTCTGGTTCGTGCTCACCGCATACTCGTCCTATGCTGACACTCAGCCAGATCTTATTTATAGTCTTTGGACAAACTTCTACTCCCTTCTCAACTAGGAAATCAAATAGGATGTTGCGTAGCAGGCGGGGCTCAAGCGCTACCTCGTGTCAGTCCGGGTTGAAATCACAGATCGACTTCTACCCTTGCCACTAACCTGTACATCGGCTGGCCGTTGTAACTCTTGGAGGGGCTCACATTTAATAGCGTACGATTTTGAAAATAGGTAGAATGCGTAGTGCATCCCAAAAAAAGGGTTGAACAGCACCGAATAAGCGGCAATCACCCTTCGCTGCGTCACTCGCTCGTTGACATTCAACTTACATCTTGTTCGAAATTTTCCTCTGGAGCCACTGTGCGCTGGACCCGATAAACACAGTGATCAGGTTAGCTCGGTAGGCGCTTGGTATGTGTGCGACGGAAGGTGGCGCCAAATCTAGTCTGTGCCACTGGCATTGTGGTACAAGAGTTGATGCGCTGCTCAGTTCACGGTTTTAGAATAGTGAGGTGAAGTTCTGGTCAAATGCGCAGCTCGAGAGAACTTCCATTGAGATAAGGTCTGTTTTTGAAGAGCAGGGTAGCAAGGAATAAATAGAGTCTTGTTCGCTGCGGATGATGGGCGTGTAAGCGCAGCTGCGTTTGACGCGGCGCCAACTTGTTTTCCCTTTTTCTTCGCAAGCGACAAGACTGCATCATATCTTTTCGTATCATGTCGTTTTCGCCAGCAGTTGTCACTTAGCGGCTTCGAGAACCGTTGAAGCATTGGTTTGGCAGCATGCCAAGCGCAGCCGCGCGGAAACGCCACATCATTCGCAGCGAACCAGGCTGTGGTGCCAATTTCTGGAATGAATAGATTTCTTTGAATGTTACAACCTTGAAACCTTCTTCTTGAAAACACGCACTGAGACTTCCCGGGTTTGATCTCATTAGATCTCAGTATATCTGCTCCAAGGATACGATTGTTTGAAAAATAGTAGAGCTTAGGCATTGATAGCTATAGCTACAGTATTCTACATTTTACAGAAGTCATTGACGGTGTGCCTCCTTCACCACGCAACAGTGGGACTCCGAAATCAACTGGACGGTCTCGAATCGCCCGACTCGCGATTTCTCCAAGATCTGACAAGTCAGTCTAAACATGTTCTTTGTTTCTCCTCTCTCCACTAAATGACCTTCTAATTCATCTCAATCGTTTTCAAAGTTCACTTTTTTTTTCTTCAGCGAACCGTCTCCAAAGACCCTACGGACACCAGGACGTGACGGAGACGGGTCATATCTTCAGACGCATGAGGTGAGTACTCCATCATTTTCTGTTTCATTTTCTTACCTGATTTTCCCTAATCGCTGAGGGCGGGGTGGATTTGGTTGGTTCGCGATGGCGGAGCGGTTCGACAACACGTGTGTGTGTGTGTGTCTGTGTTCGATGATTTCATACTCACTACTGCGCTTTGAGTTAGGAACCTTGACAATTTCCTGTTCATTGATTATCGTCACACAGTTAGTAGCTCTTCAGCGTTTCACTCATGAAGTTCACTAACTACTACAATTTGGTTTTCAGCGCCGAAATCCCTTTCTTCGTTCCGTAATAGGCTTTTACTAGACGTTACCACTATACCTGGAACGTACTGTATCTTCTTCTTACTCTTGATTTCTTCAAGTTGATTTCGAGCCTTGTCAACCTAGTTTTACTTATTAAATGGATAGATGAGTTACTTTCAAGTGCACGGTGGTCGGACTTCTAGCTACATCAACTTCAGCCAGGTGCAGCTGCCTATAGTAGCTGCCAGTGGTGGTTCAGCAAGTTCTATGAACAGCTGACTGGCAAATCCTCAAGAAAATCTGGTATGATAACTCACTGACACCTGGCTGCTTGCACAAGACTAGACAAGTTCATTTCAATGGACTAACAGTTGGTGTGCGATCATAGGTGATACTGGAAGGTTTTCCCCGGTTATTTTTACGATGGAAGATTCTCAGTCACCTAGATTGCAGCTGATTTGCTTATTCGTTTGAATCTTCTCGGTCCAGTAAATTTTTCAAGTTTTTCCAAAGTTAGTGACTTATGCTGTTCCACTTTTGCTGATAATTGCCCTAAATTCTCGTTTACAGAACTGGCATGCAATTAATTTCCTGGAGACTGTTCCTTTTTCATTCCTTGAAAAGTTCTTGTAAATTCCTGTTCATCAGGAACGTTTTCAAAGTCTCGTCCATTAGTTGCGTTGAAAATGAGCAATCTCGTTTCGGGAGTGTTGCTAACAGCTTTCAATGTCAATATTTCAAACGTCTGTAGTTCGTCGAAAAGCATTATTCATTTAGCAAATCGAGCCCTGTTGCGAAACGGCACTTTTACGCTAGCCCTTTAATCAGTTTATTGAATATTCTGTGAAATATTCATTAAGGCATTCATTGTCTCAGGGTGAATAAGCGCTTTTGTAATTTCGTTTTTCCTGTTGATGTTGTAACTGATAGAGTTGAAAAAGTCTCATTTATGATCAATTTCTGTTATTGATTACTTGTAACTCCGATTCTCCTTGATTGTCCCCACAAAAATGCACTCGCAGTGCGGTCCGCGTAGCGGCCCGCTTTCAAGAATCAGTTGCCATCTCATATGACGTCCTACCGTGGATGTAAAAATCACTACAAATCCTCAAGAAGTGTAGGGAAATGCGCGTAGGAGGACAGAATTCGGCGCTCTTGAGCAGAGGCTGCGTGGCGTCTTTTCCACAAAAGGTAACCTTTTAGCCCCTTATCAAGCTGCAACATACCGAACCGGACGCCCAGCTCTCCTGCCCGCCCACAAATGTCCGACCGATGCTGATGCTCGCATCGCTTCATTTGCGAAGCACAGTATGAAGCAGAGGGTTTGACATGAGGCAAGTACGATGCTGCATGAATATAGCGGAAGTACATACATGCAGCCATATTTACGTAGCAGTGATTGGCCCGATGCCAAAGGGAAACTCGTCCACATGCGCTTTTTGGGGTCTAGAACAAGGTTTTTTTGCAGGTTTTGACTGTTTCACTTCGCTTTTTCGAAATTTTCCCCACTATATAGCAACTTAGCCACCATTTTATGCTTTGAGGTTTCAAAGGGGAAAATACTGGGACGTATAATAGTACTTGCTCAGGTAGCAATCCTATGATCTCTCGATATTTCTACCGTCTCTCTTTTCACGTCTAGTATTGATTGAGGCTACGCGAGTAATTTGCTGGGTGAGTAATTTGCAGGGAAAAAACGCTTGAAACATCGTGCGCGCCATCCGATGTTACGTGTCTAATGTAATTAGTGAAAGTGGTTTGTGACTTTTGTAAAGGACGTCGCCTATCAGCATGCACGAGACGGTCCAATTCGAGATGTCCACTACATTGTGGTCGCCCCAGTGGATGCGCTAGTAGTGTGGCGCTTACGGGGGGACGAGACGTGTGTAAAGTTAGCGCTGGTGATGGTGATTCGGGCAAATGATGGTAAATGTGCGGCCGTCCAACCGTCTACTACTCTATCATGCCGGACAGTAGGTGTTCCGAGATTATTGAATCATTACACTTGGATTCTTCACCAACTGCTATCTTCTGCAACGCTGTGCTCAATTGCGCATGTTTTTTCTGCGAGGGGCAGCGGGGGGGAGGGAACAGGGACTTCCAAATTCGCATCATATACTTTGTTTTCTGCACAAAAGCACCGTACAGTATAGTCATATTGTTTGAGTAAGGTGTCTGTTGTTTATTGCGCAATCCAATCCATGCAGACATCCTCATAGTGGGCGGGAATCATATAAGCGCGCGGTCGCGACGCAGCTATACCAGCTGATCAGTCTGATAAGTGTCGCAGAAATCTGCCTATAAACTTACTTTCTGCTCATTTCCTTGTTCTTTTTATACACTGATTTTCACTTCTACTCTCCAGCATTAACTTTACTTTTTCTCTGGTATTAGAGCTAATGTGTCAAAATCGTTCGGTTTTTAAGAGCTCTCCCCCCCCTCCCCGCCGAACGATTGTATATACGTGAAGTGAGCTGCTTTACGCCCGAAAAAATGATCAGAATCAGTGGTGTGCAGTGTCCCGGGAACTTGACTGATGGGCGACCAAGGGACGTCCAGCGACATGTACCGCCCCTCGCGCGCGGCACGCTTCCATCAGTTCGGATGGGTTAGTTAACGGAAAAAGACAAGCTTAGAACTGTTTAGAGGTGGTTCCAGTTAGTTTATTCTTCTGGTTAATTTCATTGTTGGCAAACAGGACGAGTATAGCTCGGTGAGCAGCATTTTTTAGCGCGTGAACCAAGCTCGAAGTTTGGCACTCGCATTCATCCAAGTGATTGCTGACGTAAAACGATGAAAAATGAGAACTCAGAGTTGAATGACTACTGTCTACGCCCAGACCTACACTGCAATCTAGCAGCTCAGAGTTCGTGTAGGGGGGCAGAACCCCGTCGTCCTCTGAATGCGGGAGGATGCACAGCAGCCGCCACGCACGCTGTAACAATACCGCCGGCGTTGAGGATTGCCCTAGAGCCGTTCTCGATTCCGAGCCGACACGATTTATAAGCTGATGGCCAGTTATCGATTTATCGATCCGCGATTTCTTTTCCTGGAGTTTTTCCTCACTATCCGATCATATTACCATTTTCGAGTAGGTGACATCGTTACTATGGTCTTGCATCATCTTCGACGATTTCTTCCTTCTTGATCTTCTACGTGATCCACGATCCAGCCAGGTAACTGGTTATCAACCTGCTGGTACCTTCTAGCTAACCCGGCGATTTATTATCATTTTTCGTGTTTTTCTTTGCTGATGTTCAATAGTCTATACTATACGTGCGCTTTCTGCAAATGCACTTTGGAGGGGCTAACTGACTGTTTTGGAGTAATTTGGGTTTTGTGGTCACGATTCCTGTTTACAAGACGGTTCTGGAAAATGATTATGTTCTAAAATGGGTGGGTTCAAATAGGGGACTTAGAGCTCGCGTATTTGTAATCCTTTATAGCTCCGTAGCTAGAAAATGTTTCAAGTATTTTTAACTGGAAAACATTTCTTTTTGTAAACGTGCTAATTTTGCTAGTTTGGGTTTGATTCAATGCCACAATAAGTGAAACCTACTTGTTAACAGGACCGTTCTAGAAAAGATGGTCATGTTCCGAAAAGGGGTGGAGCCAAATAGGGGAGTTAGAGCTCGCGTCATACTCTTTGTAGCTTCCAGAACTAAAAACGGTTTGAAGTAACCTTGGATAAAAAGCTTTCTTTCTGCAGACGTGCTGATTTCGCTAGTTTGAACTGGTCTCAATTAAAATTCACAAAAGTAGAACCTTACTTCTATTCTATACTTGTAAATGTTCATGACGTCATCACGTGATGATCAAAATATTGAGTTTTCGCTTCGTCATAATCTTCGCCGTCGTTAAACGTTCTTCCTTTGAACGCCTATTTAAAGCGACTGGTCATACTTCAAACCAATATGATCAACCTTTCCCATCGATTGGTTTCGGGTGTTCTTGTCATCTTTTGATAGTTTCATGCGACTCTTCACGCTTGTATAGGCTCTTTTACTTTATTACTTCAGTAATATGAAATTAGTATCCAGTCTTCTGCTGACGTTCTATGTTTATCTTTTGTGAAAGGGCCTGCCCACTTTTTCTTGGACAAGCACAAAAATCCGGATATACGCACCATCAGAAAACATGTGTAAAATAAACATGCACTGGATCATGTAAATCTCTTCGTTGTCACTACCGTATACTTTCAAAATATTACTTTATACTTATTGCACCATTTATTATCGTTCCATCACTTCCCACAGTCACCCATAAATCCAGTTTCTATTTCGGTGTTTGCCGCACTTTCAACTTCTTATAGGGTTTTCAAGTGTTTGATTTTCTGCCTATATTCGCTGAATCGTCGGTCGCATTGAATTTTTGTGAGTACGTTGATGTTTCGATGCAGTCCCGTTGCAGGCTCACGATCAGGTGTGCAACGCCTGTGGCGCACAGCGAACCTGTGATGTTTCATCAAAATTTGAATGGACTTCATCACGAAACGCCATCGTTTCCTGTACAGTTTCCCTCAATAACGAGGGTATCATACGGTGATGAATATCGTCCACGATCCCAAAGTGCTGACACACGTCGACATTCGTTTGTGCAACGTCGAGTGTTCTCTGAGGACCATGACCCCTTTGCCACTTTGCCAACACCGACCGCGCCGCCATCGTCAGAGCCGTATGGTGGTGGTCCTGACGCCGGTAGCGGCACGTTGCGCCGTCTTGGCCAATTCACAAGCTACGACGATACATCCGCGACACTTCTACGACGACCTGCATCGAACACGGTCCAGTTTCCGTCGACGTACAGGGAGCGAGTTGAGGAGCAACACACCCCGCAGTTTAATAGCGCCGCCCACAATTTCACACAGCACCTGCGGGAGCGCTCCCCGTCGAGTAGCTCGGCGCTCCTGAATCTGCTTTCTCGTTATCCGTCAGCTAAGCAGTCTGTGTACTCATCTACAGTTGGCTCACCGACAGTAACACAACAACGAATCTATCGTCTTGACGAACGACCCGTCGACACACATTCCTATCGTCCCGCGGATGCCGTGCCCGGCTACCCTCTGGTTGAACTTTCTGTGCCAAAACAGCAGCCCCAACAACAACAACAACAACAACAACAACATCAACCGCAGCAACGTCATCAACAGGTGCAATCGTATCAGCAACATCAACAGCAACCGCAACAGCAGCAGCATCAGAATCCGTTGCAACAGCCCATCTATCTCAACGTCGCGTCACCACATCGCACTCAATCGTTACCTCTGAACGGCCAAGCACACTTGCCTCGTGAAAGCCCACTGAGCATCTCTGTTTACAGCGAATTCACTCATTCGCCGACATTTTCACAGTCAAGCGGAGGTGGTGGTGGTGGAGGCGACAGCATTCGCAGCGACACATCGCGATACGTAAACGGTTTTGCGACATTACGCCCACAGAACTCAAGCTCAACTGCAAGAGAGTTCGACAATCGATCCGAACATAAATTTTACTCGGATACCCCGAACAACAACCACACCCCCAGTACGCGTAACAAGCGGTGGGAGGATCTGTTGGACGTGACACAGCTTGATTCGTTATTGGCTTCGGTACTTGAGGAGAACATGAATCGATCGACAACTGAGTGGAGCAACTCGTTTGCACAAGTACAAAACAGGTAATGAAGAATTCTGTATTCGATAACTGCTTTTTTTTCAAATGTGATTGGTTTTTTTCTCCTATGACACCATTTGCACCATTGCACCTTTTCAGGTTCAAGAACCTGCCACCAGAAACTGGTGACAGTGGTCTGCTCCATGGGTTCACAAGTTCTGGAGCACCGACGTTACCACGACGTGGCGGTTCACTGTTGATGCAAAAATCGGCCAGCCATAATGAGATGAACAGATCCGATACGTCCGTATTAAACTCAGCCATCGAACGTCGTGCCGCTGAAGCTCCTGAGCTGAGAAAATCTGGCGCAATTGACAACTTTTGGAGTCACACAGTGAACAGCCGACCATCATCGCCGACGATTCAACGGATACCCGGCAACCTAACAGCTGCTGAACGACTGCAGATGTTGCACGAAGATACGCATTCGCCGTCAAGTACATTGAACAGACCAGGCACTGGTGCACAATTGGCAGCCCGACGTGAACACTATCTACATGAAGCATCGTCGGCTTCCACATACACACCCCCACATAGGGATGCAGCTCCTCAACGACCTGGAACACCCTCCGTTCTGCTCAGGAGTTCATCGCCAAACTTTTCCGATCTGGACAATGCAGTTCAAGAGTTGCAATGTGGAGTTCGTACAACTGGCTATTCGAACAGTGCCAGACGGCTAGGCGGATGCGCACGCTTCCCGACGGATGACCATGCGCTCAGTCCTCCACGAGCTTCTAGTACAACTACTACAACAGCTACAACAACATCACGACGAATGAACTCACCAAGTCCTACAGACTCGAACAGTGAAACATCTTCAGTGTATCAGATTCCTTCTGGGCTGCCACATCCGAAGCCGAAACATAACATCAAAGAACAACTATCAAATGCCGGTGTGCAAACTTACAACTTTTTCCGCACTGGGTTACGTGTGAGCCCGAATTTCCCCGTCCCGGTGACGGGTAGCGTGGCGTCGCGGATCACAGAATTCGAGAAGCGTCCCGGTACACCGACGTTGCAGATTGCTAGTGCTCCACGTCAAGAGAAGAGCCCTGTGTCAAATGGTCCAATGAGCCCTAAATCGACCGTTTACAAAAGCAAAGCTGTAATTCACGTGGAAACTGGTTCAAGAAGTCCGCGGAGTCTCAACAATAGCACTACCGTATTCGACTTTCCTCCTCCAACAAAAGTAAGTCAAGTTTGTATTATGCCATGCAAATCGTTGAACATATCTCATTTGTTGGACGCGATGACGTTAATGCGATGATATTTGACGCATGCTATGCGGCTGTTCGAGTGGTTGGGAGAGTTTTTGTGATCGCGTGGTGGACGAACAACTGCTTAGTAGCATGAATGTTGAGGAATGCAGAAAATGTTAGCCACTGGAGCTTGCGATGCTGGAGTTGAATGGATTTTAGCAAAGGCGAGAGTGAAGGAGGAGGATTGCAAAGTGCTTTGGAAATGCTTGAAAGTGAATGAGCGGCGAAAGTGTGGGATATACATCGGTAATGAGCCGCAGCATCCTGGCGCGAACAGCTCAGGCACGACCGCGATCGCGCTACACCCGCGCGACACGATAACTAGCCGTTCGTGTTAGCGCGCTAAACTGGTTTCCATGTCGATTCATGTTATGTTAACGATACGCAAAAGTGGGCGTACACTGACCACTGAATATATCAAGTTGAGGTTTCAACTGCATGCTCTATGAACTTTTATATCTAGATGTACCTGGACAAACGTACTGAGCAGTTGTTGTACTGAAAAAACTAGTACACCTTGCCTTCGGGATTGCCGATTCGTACACTGACTCTATATCGATTTCGTCTATTCACCTTTACTAATATGTGTGTGCTTGTAAAATTGTAACTCTTGTCATTTGGTTTTGACCAGCGTTAAAGTGATTTGTCCGCGAGCTACTCTAACCAAATAGGTTTACCTAATTCTCGTAGATTGTTTACAATGTGAAATGGCTAAGCGAAATGTGTTGTGACTACCTCTCAGTGTTCCGTTTCTGTTTATCTTTACGATACGACGGACTTCATCTGAAGTGAGTTTGCACGCGAGCAACTTCCGTCCTGCAATTGTCATACATCAGCTTCCAGCAAGGGCTGGCTGTTCTTGTCTGAAGTTTTGCGTAACTCATTCTCATCGTTATTGCCCGTACTTTCTTCATGGAATGTTGTCCCACTTACAGTATGGTTGGCGCCTGTCCACTTTATTCGACAGATGAGATATCGACATAGGCCATGTGAACCGAGTGGATCAAGCTCTTCGGACATTGGACTCCGCTTGGTACTCAGGGCCCGCCGTACCTTGCAGATGCCTGCAAAGGGGATCGTATTTGGTTGCTGGAGGTGGGGGGGGGGACGTGTCGTACTAGGCCCGCAAGAAATTTGTTCGTTTGCTGCTTTGCCAGTTCCTGACCCGCCACATTCATTCATTAGTCGTCAGTAAAGTTAACAAGAGTGTAGGAGGGATGGGGAAGGCGTAGGAGAGGGGGGACTCGTACCAGAGGAAGAACTGAGGTGATCATATTTTGCAAAATTTTCCCCAAACGGAAGGACGTGCCCTGTTAGTACTGGTTTAAGAAGGGAACGATGAGTAGTACCAATCTGTATAGCTCGCGAGCAAACCTATCCATGCGTAGAATGCACCAAATCAAGGGCCAATTTCATAGGTAATTGCTGTACCATTAGAGCTGTGCAGAGGATCTTATGGCACCATCATAGCGGAATCTAACGACTATTGTCCTAGGGTAGTTTGACTCAGGTGAAGAGGGACAAGGATTTTCGCGCATGTCAGGCTAATCGCGCCACCCACATATGTTCAGTAGACTTAACGGTCAGCTTTTTTAAGTTGGTACGACCTTGTCTGGTTCTAATGGGCTTTACTTTCAAGAAGCTTCCTAATTTAGGGCTTCATTTACCGTGTTTTCAGGGGTGTAAGAACCCATGTAGTACATGTATGGATCGCACCTTTGCCTCGAACGCCGCGAATATTTTTTCCTCGCTTTCTGCATATTTTTTTATATATTCTTACCCATGTAAGTGATATATATTGAGCAAAAAGTAGTTGAAAACCAATCAGAAGATTAGAATTCAAGAAAAAGGCTAAACTTTTGGTCCCATTGTTCGGAAACCTTGCGCGCGCGCGTTGTCGCGTGCGTCTCCGCCAGCATGCAAACGTATGAGTACTTATACCGCTGTACTGGGGTACTTTTGCTGGGTAGTTCGCCCTGGAGAGGGCTGAAGAGGGGGGCATTCCGTTGTTCCCTTTGACGTGGAGAACTGTGAACTCTAAGAAATGCTTGTCAGTGAGCCTTGTACGGGACTCTTTGTAACCTTGTACGGCACCTGTAAAGACCTATTAATTCATAACTGTAACTGTAGACATGTAAAGCTGTAACAACCATAAGTGTAAATCTTATGCGATCTTATGCGATTTCAGAATTTCATAAGAGTTCATCGATTTCACGAAGCGGCTCGGGGAGCTTCCTTAATTTTGCAGCTTCACAAGAGTTTGTAGGTCTCACCAAGCTGATGACACCGAAGAACGTGGTAACGAAGGCGAATTGCGCAGCTTTTGCTTCTAACCAGTAACCTGCGATAAGTGGCTCATGACTTCCGTTTCAGTCCTGCGCAACTTCAATCTGAAAGAGTGGTCGGCTCAAAAGCTTGTGACGTATCCAGAAGATCAGTAGGAGCGGATTAGTTGTGCATGACATCCTTAAAGTTGTTCGCAGTAAAGGTTGAGTCAAGAAACGAATGGAATTTTGACTGATCGTTGACCCGACGACGAGGACGAGCGGCACAGAAGATGCTATGAATCGGCACGCATTATGCGATTCGATAAGATGTTGGCATTAGCCACTTCATCCACATCCTCACACACATCCATGAAGTCGTTTTTTTCCTTCTTTCTCTCCTCATTTGCTATGCTATGAAGTGCTCTCATCCTCTGGTCTTTCGCTTTTCCATATCTAATTTGTGTTCCACTTAGAAAGCGCAAATCCATTTGCTTACTGGGAACATGGCCAGCTCACCTAAAGGCTTGTGTTGACATGTATGCTAAGATTTTACGTAAATATTGGTAAGACTCATAGCTGGTTCTAGCTGGTTGTCCGCCTCTATGTCCAGTAGTACACAACAGCTCCAGCAGTACGGTCAGACTTCTTGCGGTTCCCACACTTCTCGTATACTTCTACTCAAGACCTGTGAGAGTAGCTGAACTTATCACTCAGCTGTTCTATTACTTGCCGCGTACTTTCCTCGAGCCTTGGCCAACGGTGAAGTATCAGTTTTGTCATTAGGCTCCAGTACATGAAATTACGTCATCGTAGGCACGACCTTGAGTGCTTTACCCTTTCTCATGCACAAAGTACTAGTACCCGGAGCCTACTTGATCGACTTCAAGTAAGTAGTGTGATCAGGGAACATCATTTATTGTGGAAACCATAAGGGTCGTATTTTGTCGCTAGGGAGGGGTCTTGATCGTTAACAAGACCCCTTCTGAATGTTGGGTTTCTCCGTTCCAGGCGAACCACATACCACTTCCCCTCAAACCCACGCATAGCGGCAGAATATTGGGAAAAGTTGGTGAGTGGAGGTAGCGAAAGGGGTGGGGTGGGGAAGGTCGGGCCAAAAGAGGAAATCTAGTAGGGTATTCTCCCACACTTCTGCTCCATAATAGCTTGTAAGCAGAACGATGAAACTCTCAGTAGTACTGGGAGATTTAGTTGAGCAATTTTCATTCTTAACAAGTTTCTCATCAGAATAGCATGTTGATGAATTGGGATTGGACGCACTGGTCACATGAAGCTAGAACGTCGTGCCCATGTTTGCACGAGACTGCTACTCTTTGGTCCCTGTACCGGAAGGCGATTTTGGGCGTCCACATTCACAAGTGGCTGTTATGATCAGTAGTGGGAACTTTTTCAAGGAGTTGAGTAATGCGATAGATGCATACGGCAAAACGCTCAGACTCGAGTGTTTGAATTAGGACAAACGATGATTCGATTACGTCTGTACGTACGGCGGTGTGTCGGCGTAGTTACGTTAGCGACAAATCGTCGCCAAGTGTAGGGCGACATGTTGCGATAGCTGTTACAGAATACGTGGTCGGTCTCGGGAAGTTGTCGATAGTCAACGCGTTTCAGTTTTTTACGAAGTTCAAAAAATGACCACTCCTTTGCACGCACACTACCACACACACACACATACATACGCTATCGCAGTTCTCAGTTTGATAGCACTCAGCTGACCGGTTTCGGGTGTCTCTCTGGTTAGGGCGTTCCGTGGTGGTGGTGTGTCTGTGTGTCTTGTCAGGTGTACTCAGTGTCGTCGCGATCGTTGTCGATACGGCAAGGAGGCGTCTTGGTCCAAATTGTAGCGTGCCATCTTTAGAAGTGCTGAGTGCGCCGCATTGGTGCGCACAAATAGCCGCCAGCCTCCCACTCTCCGCACTTTCTCAATCAGCTTTCGTGAAAGTGAACCGCCTACGAACTCATTTCTTCAGAAAACATACGGAAAGATCTCAGTTTGCATTATAGCCCGCTTATTTACACAAACAAATTCATAATTACTTATGAAACCTTATTTCTCTCAAGCTTTCTTCTGAAGTTACTCCTTAACATTAACTTGAAATACGGCATATTTGATGAGTTATTGTTCTTACAAATCGTGTGGAACATTTAAAGTGAAGGGTAAAAGTTTAATCTCCTTCAGACTAAAGTCGTCTATCACTAGCGGTTCTCCAAGCAATTTACGTGTCACCGTTTTTCTAATGCCTTTCATCGCTTTCGCGGCTTGAAATGGCATATACACGCGGGGTTTTCAAAAGGAACCGGAAATTTCCCCCCTGAAAAGGCCATCTATCGCATTGGTATGAGAACGTATTGCGATCGAATGTTCATAGGATTCTTATAGCTCGTTATCGTTTTATTGGTCATCAAATTGCTTTACAGAATATCTATAGCAGTAATGGTTGCGAATTTAAAATCAAATGAGTTTTGGCCTTTTGGTCTACCAGATTCCTATTTTGGCAGCATACCCTCCAAGCTTGCTAGTATCTTCTCCAAGCTGAGAGGTATCTCCTAGCTTAAAGGCAGTTGGCACGATAAATCGCTATACAGGTGTAGGATTTGTACAACTGGCTTAACAGAATTCCGTGACCTCGGACAGGCGCTGCGTGAAGCCTTTTCCAAGGAGGGTACCTCTATAACGCCCTATTGAGCAACAACTTTACGTCCCAAACGCCTTCCTTGCCCGC